GAGGCAGGAACCTAACCCTATCACAACCAGAGCTGGAGTTGGGGCTGAGGGTAGATCAGAAGCTGGAGCCAGAACTGATGATGGAGCAGCAGCTAGAGCTATACATTTGCCCTGATATTTCTCTAACATCTTGTACAGTGTACCTGCATGTTCACCTCTCCTGCTGTAACTCTTACTATTTCAGTAAGTCAATGAACAAAGGAGATTTTTTTTAAAATTTAACCTGTTTTTGTAATAACCCTGTTCAGAGATGTTATTACACACCTCCAGAGCAGGTGGGATTTGAACTTGGCCTCCCAGTCCATAAGTGGTACACTACCACTGCACCACAAGAGGCCCTCCAAACGCAAGTGTCAGCCACTAAGGCAAGTATATATTAACCCTGTGCCCATTCTGTCACTATTTTCTAACCAACACATTCAGTTATATTATTACACACCCTCTGGAGCAGCAGGGATTTGAACCTGGGCCTTCTGGCTAAAGGAGGTCATGTTAACCTGAACAACTCAGTAGGAAAAGGAGGGGTCAGGTCAGATGGCTATTTTACATCCAGTGCAATGTTACATTGCACAGACGGTAGCTGCCTGTACTCCTTTCAGTGAGTTTGAATCAGGCACCAGCCAGAAATAAAAAGACAAACACAGCAATAATGAAGAGGGTCACATAAACCATACCATCAAGAATCCACATGGCTGAAAGCATTGCAGCCAGATCAGTCACTTTTACATCTTTTGCAGTTTAACTGCAAGAATAAGATCAAGAATGCAAATTAAATGTTAATGCTCTGTGTCTCTGTAAATCAGAATATCATTTTTATATTACTGGATGTACTCAGGGTAGAACTGTGTGTGAATACCAACCCTTTACTCTCAGCAATTAAGAAGCAGATTAAGAAGCATCCAATTTTCAAGCAATATCAATGAATATCAGATCAGGCAAACCTTCATCTTCAGTGCATGGTCAATAATCAGGAGTGGAATCTGCTCACTCTCCTTCCATTGAAGTAATTCAAGGCTCCCCATCTGGGATTGAGGTTTGAGAAAGAGGACAAGTATAAAAGGCAAGAAGCAGAAGAGTGAATACCACTGCAAATAAAGGCCAAGGTAGTTACGAGAACTGGGAACGTGTGGGAGGATTTGAACATGCAGACAAGAACTTTCAGCTGAGTGAGATGGGTGAAATGGAGTCCATGCAGGTCAGTGAGGAAAGGGGGTGTGAATGTGTTGGGTTAATGGGACTTAAGCCCCATGCCTTTTTATTTTTGTGCTTTTTAAAACTATGGACTGAAATGAGAAAGAACTGTTTAAAAACCCCAGTGATTCAGAAGGATGGCTGCATACTTTGAAAGTAAGGAATTTGATTTTTTTTATGAATGCTGTTTGTGTAACTGTGGTTTTCAGCAACGTACCAACAAACTGAAGATGAGAATTGTTTAAAAGTGAAGTTGATTGGTTTATAGACGAGGGACCAATTATTAATGACACAGATCCTGCGCCTGCCAACAATGATTTGATTGGTTGTCAGGTGGCTGAACAAACTGGGCTGCGAGTTGCAACAGACAGAAGCTTTGGGGAAAACAAGCGGAGGCTCGCGGACCGCTTTGCAGAACACCTACGCTCGGTTCGCAACAAACAACTGCACCTCCCAGTCATGAACCATTTCAACTCCCCCTCCCATTCCTCAGACGACATGTCCATCCTGGGCCTCCTGCAGTGCCACAACGATGCTACCCGAAGGTTGCAGGAACAGCACCTCATACTCCGCTTGGGAATCCTGCAGCCCAATGGTATCAATGTGGACTTCACAAGCTTCAAAATCTCCCCTCCCCCTACCGCATCCCAAAACCAGCCCAGCTCATCCCCGCCTCCCTAACCTGTCCTTCCTCCCAC